TTAGGGTTACATTAATTGACTTAGGGTCAACCAGTAAGTCCTAGTACTGGAATCCAACCCTAGATCTAACTTGAATATATTGTTCTTCCTAAGCAGCCTCACTCTGAGGAAAGTAACTTTTATCTTCTCCCTTAACCACCTCTTATCAGAAATTTATGTGACAACACAATTGCAGAAATCTTGTGGTTTTCTCTTAAAACTCCATTTTTTACCACCTCTTAAGCTGTGCATATCCCTAATAAAGAATATTGGTCTGGTATTATTTCTAGTGTCATGCTAGATATGATTGGTAAGTTAATAAAATTTTAATATTGGAGGCATAAAGCTTGGCCACACTCAGTTGGACTATACTAGTCAATCTGTAGTGGTTATCCTGTGAGAAGTCTAGAATAGCTCGAAAATCATATTGCCTTTACTTTGCTTTTAGCTACAAGATCAGAAAAATGGTATAAAATAGTGTCTCCCCTTTTCTCAGAAAGATGATAGGCATACCACAGGATTCCATTTTTAGAGAATCTTGGAAAATATGTTAACAGCTCTCTGGACATCAGGGCATTTCTATTAATACCTGGGTATTGGTTACCAGGTTGGAAAGTGTCTTAAAGTAGTGGCTTTCTTATTAACCTAGCTTCCTCTCCATCATTCCATGAGGGTAGTACAGATTCCTTGAGAAAAACCTGTATTTTTCTCACTGTTGTAAGAATTGTAATTTAAAAATTTGATATAAAACTCCAAAAAATTAGGTATATTTTACCAAATTAGATGTCATCTTCTAACATTCTAGTATGAGTAGGAACAGATACCCGATCACTAAGAACAGATAGAATAACAAATATTTTGTCAATTTTTCCTACAAATTGAGAAGATAAAGTCTGTTAAGAGGCTACATAGATCCTTACAACCTGTCATTACATAATCTATTAGAAGACAGCATTGTCAAGTCAATAAAACCACTCATCTAGTTTAACATGAGGGAACTAAGTACACACTTGGAAATTTGGTATGGAAAAATATGCTATATGGTGATGGGTATTTGTATTTCAAAAGTACTAAATTAGCCCTGACCAGGTAGATCAGTTAGAGTATCATCCCAATATGCCGAGGTTGCAGGTTCAATTCCTGGTTAGGGAACATAAGAAGCAGCAAATGAATAGATAAATAAGTGAAACAACAAATCAGTCTTTCCCTTCCTCTCTCTAAAATCAATTCATTTCTATATTTACATTCTCACAGTAGGTGTTAGGAGACAATATTTGAGCTCTTTTACTGGTGTTAACAATATTAGTGAAAGATATAAGAGGTGGTAGCACATTATACACAATTTATGAATTGTTCCTTACCCTGAAAAGCCCATTTTAATCTCATGGCATTCTGAACTTTACATGCTGTGTAGAGCTAATTATTAATAGTCCTTATAGGTTATTGACTTGTGAGTGTATGTCAATAAGGTAAAATATGGTGTCATTATGGCTGCAGATTTTAACATGTTGCTGGAGTGAAATAACTGGTTATAGTACTTTTCACGCAAATTCTGTACATGCTAAAGCTGGCTGGAGTCTGTGACATGCTCACTGGTGAGAGTTGGTAAAGGCTATGCTTTTCTCTCCACAGCTCCATTGTGGAAAAGCTAGTCTGTTCAGGATTCTTGCTCTGAATGAAGTAGAGAATTTTAACTTTTAGTACTTTCTCAGCTTTTTCGTAGTATTATCGAAAAAGGAGCTTAAAGATGCCAGGAACACTGGCTAAAGATGCCTCCAAATTGCTTCTGGCTGAGTATATGGGAAGTTGTTGACATTGAACAAGAGACAGTAACTAAACTGTCTTCATCTGAATGATCTAAATCAGGGGTGGGAAACCTTTTCTCTTTTTTCCTGCCAAGGGCTATTATAACATCATTTGCTTAATATAATTCACTTAATATAAATTTATGTTGCTATGAAAAAAAGCTTATTTGTTGAGTTTCCAGTCCTGCCTGCAATTACCTTAGGAAGGCCAGACGAAGTGATTTCTGAGGCATTATACGGGCCCACAGGCCGGACCTTCCTCACCCCTGATCTAGATTAACTTTTAGAAGATAAACACTTAGCATTTGATTGTTAAAGGTCTGAATTATAGACACTACAAGATAAGACTTGAATTAGACTAATCCCTGGCCTTATTTATATCAGCCAGTTCAAATGTTGGTTGGTTTGCCTTAGGCCTGTCCTACCCCAGAATATAGGTTATTTCACAGATGCTTATTGGAATCTGACTAGTCAAAAGATACCTTAGTATTCTCAATACTGAGGAATTTTTGCTTGCAGAAACTGAGGGCTCAGAAGAAGAGGATAAAGAAAATGACAAGGCTGAAGAAACACCAAATGATTTAGTTCTTGAAAACAAGGTAATCATTTGCTCAATATATTTTGCTTCCTTATTTTAGGGCTGTAGTTTTATTAGTTAGTATATGTGTGACTATTCATGTCTAGACATCCATTTGATCTGATTGTTAAGACCCACTGTAGGTTTTAGGGAAAAGTCTGAATTTTGAATCCTATGTCAGGCTTTTTTTAAGCCATACTAAATTATCTATTTAGGTTTGTAATCTAAAGATGCCTGTCTTGTACTTCTGCCTAATACCAATGATTTGGATATACTTTAGTCACTTCAAGAAAATGAAGAGGAGGAGATTGGGAACCTAGAGCTTGCCTGGGATATGCTGGATTTAGCGAAGATCATTTTTAAAAGGTAAAACTCTTGGTGCTTCTAGGCCAGCGGTTCTCAACCTGTGGGTCGCGACCATCGGAAAACACATATAGCATATCAGATATTTACATTACGATTCATAAGAGTAGCAAAATTACAGTTATGAAGTAGTAATGAAAATAATTTTATGGTTGGGGGTCACCACAACATGAGGGACTGTATTAAAGGGTCGCGGCATTAGAAAGGTTGAGAACCACTGTTCTAGGCTCAGATTGGGAGGTTGGTGGTTGCAAATAGAACCTAGTTATGGTTGGACAAATGCTGTTAAGGTTTCTGACCATATTTCCTTGTTTTAGGCAAGAAACAAAAGAAGCTCAGCTTTATGCAGCACAGGCACATCTTAAACTTGGAGAAGTTAGTGTTGAATCTGGTAATACATCTTTCATTTTACTCTTCCCCTAATGTACTCCCACCCAGTCTTTTTCAAATTCCTTTATTTATTTTTTTAAATATATTTTATTGATTTTTTACAGAGAGGAAGGGAGAGGGATAGAGAGTTAGAAACATCGATGAGAGAGAAACATCGATCAGCTGCCTCCTGCACACCCCCCACTGGGAATGTGCCCGCAACCAAGGTACATGCCCTTGACTGGAATCGAACCTGGGACCCTTCAGTCCGCAGGCTGACACCCTATCCACTGAGCCAAATGGGTCAGGGCTCAAATTCCTTTAAATCAAGCTTGATTATAAATTATGGGCAGTTGGCTTTAAAAGGACAGTAAGTTTGGGTCCCTATAGTCCAGGGGTCCTCAAACTTTTAAAATGGGGCCAGTTCACTGTCCCTCAGACCGTTGGAGGGCCGACTATAGTTAAAAAAAAAACTATGAACAAGTTCCTATGCACACTGCACATATCTTATTTTGAAGTAAAAAAACAAAACGGGAACAAATACAATATTTGTATTTGCATGTGGCCCGCGGGCTGTAGTTTGAGGACCCCTGCTATAGTCCCTAAAAGTCACTCTAACTGAAAGTCTTAGTCATTTTGATGTTTTTATATAATCAAGGATCATGAAATGTAAATTGGGGAGCATTCCCCCAGAATAGTCTAAAATTTAGAAGTACTATAGTATTAAATGCTTGCTATTGTTTTTCTCTTCATTAGAGAATTATGTCCAAGCTGTGGAGGAATTCCAGGCTTGCCTAAACCTGCAAGAGCAGTACCTAGAAGCCCATGACCGTCTCCTTGCAGAGACCCACTACCAGTTGGGCTTGGCCTATGGGTACAACTCTCAGTATGATGAGGCAGTGGCACAGTTTGGCAAATCTATTGAAGTCATTGAGAAGAGAATGGGTGAGTGAGCATCAGCTGTTTTCACAATGATTTTGATGGATCCAGTTATTGACAAGGTATAAGTGAATCTTTTTGTGGTAATTTACTGACCACTTCAACCTTTGTAGCTGTACTTGATGAGCAGATGAAGGAGGCTGAAGGATCACGTACTGAATATGAGAAAGAAATTGAGGAGCTGAAGGAACTGCTACCTGAAATTAGAGAGAAGATAGAAGATGCAAAGGAGTCCCAGCATAGTGGGAATGTAGCTGAATTGGCTCTGAAAGCAACTCTGGTTGGTTTGGTTTCCTTTTCAAGTTTTGATAATAACATGTTCGATATTGTTGAAGGCATTGTGGTATTAGTGTTCTGTTGGCTAGGAATCTTAGGTATAACATGGTTTCCAGGGAGTTGGAAGTCAGAGAGAACGTGAGAACTCGTCTAGATATTCCTATCAGATAGTATAATGCTTAAGACAATACATTTCGGATTGCGTTTGACTCCTATCTTTGCTGTTTACTATATATGACCATGATCGTGTTTACTTTTCTTTGCCTTAGTTGTCTGATCTGTAAAATGGGGATGAAAATAGTACCTGTATGTTAAGACATTTCTAATGGTGTAAGACAAATAGTGTTTGTTTAATAACTATAAACGGTTGTGTCCATCTCTGAGAATTCCTCTGTATAGATTAGTGAGGTGTTTGAAGGTTTTTAACCCCAGATTGCCTGGTCTGCCTTTTGGTGCTAGGGTGTCAGGATGATAGGATATGGAGGGTTTGGTTTAATTTTTTTTTTAATATATTTTATTGATTTTTTACAGAGAGGAAGGGAGAGAGATAGAGAGAGTTAGAAACATCGATGAGAGAGAAACATCGATCAGCTGCCTCCTGCACATCCCCCACTGGGGTTGTGCCCGCCACCCAGGTACATGCCCTTGACCGGAATCGAACCCGGGACCCTTCGGTCCGCAGGCCAACGCTCTATCCACTGAGCCAAACCGGTTTCGGCTTTTTTTTCTTTTTTAATATATTTTTATTGATTTCAGAGAGGAAGGGAGAGGAAGAGAGAGATAGAAACATCAATGATGAGAAGGAATCATTGCTCAGCTGCCTCCTACACGTTGGACCCAGCACGCAACCCAGGCATGTGCCCTTGACTGGAATCGAACCCGGGACCCTTCGGTCCGCAGGCCAACGCTCTATCCACTGAGCCAAACCGGCAGGGCAGGTTTAATTTCTTTAGTTAGGCCTCACCCGAGGATATTTTTTTCCTCATTCATTTTTTTAAAATACATTTTTTATTGATTTCAGAGAGGAAGGGAGAGAAATAGAAACAGCAATGATGAGAGAGAATCTTTGATCTGCTGCCTGCTGCACACCCCACACTGGGGATCGAACTGTGACCTTCTGGTTCATAGTTCGACGCTCAATCACTGAGCCACACCAGCTGGGCTCCCCATTCATTTTTAGAGAGAGAGAAACATTGATGTGAGAGAGATACATTGATCTGTTGCCTCCTGCACACTCCCCTGCAACCCAGGTATATGCCCTTGGCTGGGAATCGAAACCCAGACTCTTGGGTCCATAGGCTGATACTCTAATCAGTGTGCCAAACTGGCCAAGGCTTGGTTTAATTTCAACACTCTGTCTGTATACCCCAGGTTGGGTCTGGCAGGTAACAGGCATAGGTAGAGAGGGTAGACAGTGTTGCTGCTATATGGGGCCACTATTATTTGAGGTCTTAATCAGTTGCTTTGATGGTGGGTACCTGTTGTAGGGCTGTGGGTGACCCGATGGCTTCTATCCTGGGACCCACTGCAGTTTGTCATCTTCACAGGTAGAGAGTGCTACTTCAGGTTTCACTCCTAGTGTAGGAGGCTCTTCAGTCTCCATGGTGAGTATTCAGGTTTTTTGTTTTGTCTCTTTAATATTAGACCTCATTCTTTGTCTCATGTGGCTAGCTATTCATTGCTAACAAAGGCTTCCTTTTTGTCAGATTGCCAGTAGAAAATCGACAGATGGTGCTTCCTCATCAAATTGTGTGACTGATATTTCCCACCTTGTCAGAAAGAAGGTAAATTTACATGTGATCATTTCTTTTCTTTTTTCCCAAATACACAAGGAATACCTTTCCTGGTGCAAAGATATTTGCAAAGGTGGTAAGGATTTGCAAGTAAAGATAGTTTTCATCCCTACCCAGGTAGCTCAGTTGGTTAGTGTCGTTCCACTGTGCCAGGGTTGCTAGTTCAATCCCTAGTCAGGGCACTTACAAGAATCAACCAAGGGATGAATAAATAAGTAAATACAAATAGATGTTTCTCTATTCCTCTCCCTCTCTCTCTTCCTCTCTCTAAATAAAGTCAATTTTTAAAAAGATACTTTTCCCTTGCATACCTCTTAAAGCAAAACTCACCTGGCCCAAGGACTCATCCGGAAAGCTATTGAGTAGGATTGGTCAGATTGGCTTCTGTTAGTAAGCTGGCAGGTTTTCTTTCAAGTCATTTAGTAGCAGACCTTCTGACGAACTCCTGTGAGTCTACCTTTTGCCTTTGGTTGCAATAGTTTTCTCTTGTGAGAGAGTCTAAATCCTGCTTTATTTCCTGACTCAAATTTAGTATATTAAACTTGTGATTTGGTTACTGTTCAGATCTACTACTCACACCCACCCCACCCTTCCATTAGAGAGGCTGAATTGGTATGTTGGGACAGGCCAATTTATTCTGCTTTGCCTCCTGTGGATTGAGAAAGACCGTAAGAGCTATGACTCCTGTTCAGGCTCTTTGCATACGACAGGGAGAGGGGTGTTAAAGAAGTGTCATTTTAAAAACATTAAACACGTTTGTTGAAGACTTTACAATTATATCTTTAGCGGAAACCGGAGGAAGAGAGTCCCCGGAAAGATGATGCAAAGAAAGCCAAACAAGAGCCGGAGGTGAATGGAGGCAGTGGGGATGCAGTCTCCAGTGGAAATGAAGTTTCTGAAAACATGGAGGAGGAGGTGGGCAGTTAAAGCAGGGCTTGGACTCTTGCCTCATTTCCCCTTGTTCTCAGGGCCTGGGGAAACCAGTCCTCCCAAGTGCATGTTCCCCACCTTGAGCCTGTTTGGATTGCTTGAGTGTAACCTTCATAAAAACAATGAGGTTATTCAGGAAACAGTTTGGTATGGACTATAGGACATCTCACTGGCCAATGGAACCTATATACACACCACGAGTCCTGCTCTGTGAATGTATGAGAAGGCTTAATTGTCAAGACCTTGGGTCACTTCTGCTTGCTTCTTTCCATGTAATGTATGAACATTGGCTCTGTCAGCCCTATTACAGAGTGTTTAAGAAATTGGATTTATACTTTGGTCATTGCCCTTTTAGTACGGGAGTAAGGTAGAGTTTAGGGGACTTGTTTTGACTGAGGCCTACTCAGTTGTATAAGATGTAATGGCTTGAACAAGGGTGACTTATGCCCAGGCTCCCTGTTTATCTTCCAGGCTGAGAATCAGGCTGACAGCCGGGCAGCAATGGAGGGGACAGTGGAGGCTGCAGCTACAGTTGAAAGCACTGCATGTTAAGAGGGAACAGAGCCTTCCTCCCAAGGGAAAGTGTTTTTGTATATAATGTATTTTTTCACTTTTGGGGGATTTTGTATAACTTCAATAAAGATTGTATGCAAAGGTTGAGGCTTTGATGGCTTTTTTCTTACATACTTACTGAATCTGTGCCTTGAAGCACATTGGTTTTATATAGTGACTAAAAGTACTTTTCCCCCCCTTTCTGTTGAATGTTCTAATCCAAATTTCTATTTAATGTAGATGTGATCAAATCAAGTGTGGCTGCTGGCCAATGGTGCTATATTTTTTCCATTTTAAATACTTGATAGAACGCAGCTGTCTTGCAAACTTTTGGTGGTGCTGTCCCTGAATGGGGGCTACAAAAACAAGACTTGGTGACAATCTTACTCTTTGGTGCTTATACTGTGTGATGGGCTCTGTGAGCTGATAGCAGCCCCTAAGCCAGGCCTTGGGTGGTACCTGTCTTTAATTATTCCCCTACTCCAACTAGGGCCATGATCCTGTCCTGGGAAAAAAACTTTGAGGGAAATTTGGGGGCATGGCTCTTGAAAAAAACTGGTATGCTGCTTGTAGAGAATTAAGCTTTCTGGACTGAAAGTGGCTAAGGGACTGACCATGATGGACACTTTGGGTGTGGTTGGAAGAATCTGGGGAGGCTGGCTGGTTGAGATATGTTATTTTCTGTACAGAAAGGTTGAACTATATCAACACTTGGAATTGTTACCCATCTGCAGTTTTGACTTCTCAAATAAACACTCCTGGAAAAAAACAAAACACTCCTGGTCTGGACTTGTGTTTAAAGATTTTAGAGTGGGATCCTGGGCTTTCTGGAGCATTTCTGTGTGGAATTATAGTTGAAAGGCAGTAACTCTACTAGGGGATCTAGTACCAAAATCCCATTTAGGTCCTCAGCGATGTCCAAGGCACAGTGCTAGTGTGAGACTGGCAGAGCTGCATTTGACTCTGACCCTGACTCTTAGTTTAAAAACCTGCTTTGCATTGGGCACTATTTATCTCCAGATTATAATAAAGAGCTAATATGCAAATGGTCGTTGTGCCCGTGGGGACTTGACTCTGGGTCCCACAGTGCACCCCAGATTCTGACAGGAAGGAGATTTTCATATACATTTTACTAATTTTCTTTCATCTTAGACACTTCCATTATAGAGAAAGGGCAAATAGCAATATTAAAATACTTCCTCTAATCCCTTTTAATGTGCACAAATTTTGTGCACTGGGCCACTAGTATATGGCTACAAGATCTTCCTGTTGAGAACCTGCAAGGCTTCCTGGGGGATGTCCTGAGAAAACTTGGATTTGAATGAAGTGTGCCAATAAAACTGATTTTTAGCAAAAACAAAAGCTTTGATTAAAGAGTGCTCCTTTAGTCACCTTTCAAAGAACTTCCTATATACCAGGTGATACTGCAAATACCTGACAATATTTAATCCTCTCATCATTCTGTTTTACAAAGGGAAAACAGGTAAAGAAAGGCCAAATAGTTTTAGCCTTAAGGTGGTAAAGCTATGGTTGGAGCTCACATTTTGTGCGCATCTGCTTTTTGCTTCTAGACCCTCCGTCAGAACAGTAGTAAAGCTGTAGGTCTGGGAATAGGCCTCAATTAGGACCTAGTCCTGTACATGGTGAGCTATTCATACCCACATTCTGGACTCAGAAAGCCAATGGGGATGGGTCAAAGCTGGTGGGGCCCAAACCTTCATCTCTACCCTTGACTCTGCTGTCAAGGGGCTCTTCTGCAGGAGGAGGGGGGTCAACAAAGCCAGCTGTTGGTGCAAGGGAGTTGGCTTCCAGTGAAGCTGAGCTGGGCACCTGTAGAAGAGAAGACAGATGTTTAGCAGGTTTATGTAGAGGTTAGGACAGCCGTGGGCACCGTTTGAAATGAATAAAACTCAAAAAAAAGACCGTACCCTTTTATGTAATGATGTTTACTTTGAATTTATATTAGTTCACACAAACACTCCATCCATGCTTTTGTTCCGGCCCTCTGGTCCAGTTTAAGAACCCATTGTGGCCCTCGAGTCAAAAAGTTTGCCCACCCCTGGGTTAGGAGCACAGGTTCTGGAGTTGGACTGGACTACCTTAGAGTCTCAACTGAACCAAGTTAACCCCACTGTGCTCCGATTTCCTTATCTGTTTACATACTACTTACCTGTTGGATGTGTGAGGGTCACAAGCCACAGGAAGCATTTGGCACATAGTGGTCAACAAAGGCTGGCTGTTACCACACCAACCATACCCATGGTGTCCCTAGCTCTAGTTGAGCCCTCACCAGAGGTGGATACTGGTACTCGTGGGCACTGGCTGGATTGATCTCTGCCAGTGTTTGTACATCTGCATCTCTTGCATTCACCAGCCGCAGAAAGAGCTCAGCCTGACCTACCTGGGGAGAGGTGAAATGATACTGTATCCATACCTTTGAGGTGACCCACTCTCCATTTTCCACACTCACCTGGGGAATTCCATTCAGCTGCCCAAGGCTAAGGCTGGGATCCCGAGGAAGGACCCGAAGTGGGAGACGCCAACGGCCACTAAGTACCCTCTGATCCCGGTCAAAGAGCACCAGTGAGGCCCAGGCCTTTGGTTGTGGTGCCCTAGCCCCTGCCAGCTCCTGCCAGGCTTGTAACTCACAGAGCAGGGATAGTGATGGTGAGGGTGGGAGTCTAAAACAATGAAATTAAAAAGAGGTGTCAGAAGCCAGAACTGGTTCTACTCCCTTCCTAGAACTTGGCCTTCAGAGCCAGTAGCCCTGTATACAAATGAGAAAACTTGTGGCAAGGGACACCAGTCATCATTTCCACCTACTGACCTGGGTACAGGCTGCCTGCTGGCAAGGATGGCACAGTTGCCCATGGGCCCAGGAGCTAGAGGAGGGGGCAAACAAAGGGCTGGGGGCAAAGCTGTGGTCCCTCCTATATCCCGTCCATCTCGGGCCAAGACAGTCATTAGTTGCACCCAAGTCCAAGAAGCCTCAAGGCCCCGCAGGAAGTCATAGAAGATGACCAGGCCAGCCCTGGGAACACAGATCTCAGTGAGCCTCCACACACACTCCTCTCACCACCCCTCCACCCCCCTAGCCGTTCCCCAACACTAGCTGGACCGTCACCAGCAGTGCTGACCAAGTCACAGAGGATGCCAAAGGAGGGAGCAGGCCTCACCCAGGGTCGTAGGGAGCAGGGCCCAGAACATTAGCTGGGGGCAGGACAAAGTATGGATCCAGGCCCAGGTTCCTGCTCATGGCTCCAGGAAGCTGTGGCTGTGGGGAAGAGTTGAGTACTCTAGAAAGCTTCCTGGGTACTTACGCTTCCCCACTACCCAGAGCAGAGCTGCCCCCACCCAACCCCTGGGTCCTCACAGTCTTTTCTGTGCCACCCAAGAATAGGATGCCTGTGGAGTGTGGAAGTGGTGGCAGCGGGGGAGCCACCGGTGGTGGGAGGCATGGGGGATCTTCCTTTCTCAGGCGCAGGCTGGGATTGGCCACAAATTGTGGCTCTCGGGACCCTAGATGCAGAAGAAGAGTAGGGAGCTCCTGAGCAGGAAGCAACAAGAAACTGGACTGAGACACCCCTGCCTGAGAACCAACACCCTCCCCCCTCTTCCCTCCCCCCACACACACCTGGAGATGCACATGGACACAGACAGATGGGGCACAAACACACTTTCATTCCCCATGCATAGCCTAACACCTTCCTCTAAGCCTGGGGTGGGACTGGGATGCTCACTGACCCCAGGGTGCTCGGCCTGCACCCCTCTGCATCTGCAAAGCCAGAATTTCTGCCTCCAGACGCTGGTTTTCAGTCTCCACTGCTAGAAGTTTCCCAGATGTGGAACCTGCCCGCCTTCCTGTGATGAACAAGTCTGACCTGTCACTTTTGACCGCTGGTGACCATCTTAATCCAGTTCTGAGCAGCTCTCAGCCCTTAGGACTCCCCGGAGAGGGTGGACTTCTTGGCTAACATCCTAGTCACTGCCTCAAAGGCCACCCAGGTTTTCTATCTCAGAGCTTTTGCTTAGGTGGTTCCCATGCCAAATATTCCCTCCCTCACCGCCCTTTTCTCCTTCCAAGACTAAGACCACCGCTTCCGTGAGACCCTCCTGGCTGGCCCGTCCTGTTCACCCCTGTGGGTACGTGACCGTCGAAGCTCCAGAGCATATGTCTCCACTTGCAGCTGCCATATCTGGCCCAGAACGCCGGGGTCCCGACCCCCACCTCGAATGTAGGCCTCACGCAGGGCCCTAGTGAGAAGGGGATGAGAAGGCAACAACATCTTTACAAGACTGCTCAGTGCTTTGCCCAGTGCCCGTCCCCGGGCCCAGACCTCACCCAATCTCAGCAGCCAGAGTCCCTGGGTTGGACGGTAGCACCGGCCAACAGAGTTCTGCCCCTTGCAAGGAGTTCTGCTCAGTCCTGGAGTTGGGGGCGACCCACGGAGAGACGTTGTTATTGATCCTCACCTGCGGCCGATCGCCCCATCCCGAATTCACACGGGCTTTCTTCCCCCTGCTTCCGAACCTACGTTTTGTCCGCGTTGTCCCCCCCTTCCCCCCACGCCCCCTCCGGCTCCCCAGACCAGGGCCTGCTAGCTGACCCATGCGGCGCTCAGGGCTCCTGCGCGCCGATCTCACCGGGGCTCAGACTGTAGCTGCTGAACGCGCGTTCCTAGCACCTCCAGAGCTCCCCTGGTCCGCCCGGCCTCCGCCCGGAGTTCTACAAGCTCCCGCTCCAGGCCTAATAGGCGTGATATACCGCCCCGGTTGCGGGCCAAACCTTGGAGGCGCCGGTTCAGTTCTAAGGGACCGAGTGAGAATGGGTTCAAGCAACCTCAGACCAAGGGGCGAGTACTTTGTCCCCCTCCCTGCAATCCCTTTCGCCTCACCTTCGCCGCGCAGCTCCAGGGCCAGGCTCTGTGCCTCTGTCTCTGCCGCGCGTATTGTGTGAGTCCGTTGCAGGGCCCGCAGCCGCTCGCTGGGGCTCCCAGCAGCCTCGGAGTTGGGGCCCTGGGTGGGAGCCTTTGGACGCCCCCAGGGCTCCACGGACTGCCTGGGAATTGCTGTTATCCAGGGTTGCATTTCCTCCAAGTACAGCCGCAGACCCTGCACCTAGAGATAACAGTAACCCGCGACCCCCATGTAGGGGTAATCTGACCCTTGATCTTTTGGGTAGGATGCTCAGTTTTGAGCCCGTGGGTAGTGCCCAGTGTACCTCTTCTGTTAGCTTCCTTAAAGCTGATTTGCTGGCTTCCTGCTCTGGGAAGCCCTGGTGTTCTTGTGACGCCGCAACCTGGATACAGCATGTGGGATGAGGAATCCTGAGGGTCAGGGTGGCTTCAATACCCAGCCATGGCCATGGAGGAGGCCCTTACCATGGGACCTTGTGGTTCCGAGGCTTTTGAGGGCTGTGCTCCAAGTGTCACCTCCCGTGTCAAACGGCCAATGCAGAAGCGCTGAGTGTGAGTGGCCAACAGGGCCCAGGAGCGGAAAACCATGTCACAGGATCCACAGGGCAGGAGCCCTGGCTCCCCAGAGTGGGAGGCCATGGGATGGAACCCCTTCCCTGATACCAAGCCAAGACCTGCAGAGGACAGGACAGAGAGCAGGGGAAAGGGAGAAGAGGATGAAACAGAAAGTCAGAGCAGAGAGGAAAGGCCAGGTTTATTGAGTCCACAGTATCAAGTTTGTTTGGGGAGGAGCCTTAGCTCCCTGGGCAGCAAGGACAGGCCTGGGCAGGTCTGGAGTATGGGTGGGAAGGCTTGGTCATCTTTGGGAGGAGGCCCTGGCTTGAAAAAATGTCACAAAGTCTGCTCCACCTCATTGCATGAGATGAGACGGGCAAGTGTCTAATACTATACCTTGGTTTTTCTGCCTGTATTAATAAAACAAAGGGGAATGAACATCTGCCTCCTGGACTCACTGAGCCCTTTTATAAAAAATAAGTTTTTTCATTGATTTCAGAGAGAGGGAGAGAGATAAAAATATCAATGATGAGAATCATTGATTGGCTGCCTCCTGCCCACCCCCCAACTGGAGATCCTGTCCAGCCCACCACTGGGGATCAAGCCCATAACCGGGGCATGTACACTTGACTGGAATCAAACCGGGGACCCTTTAGTCTGCAGCGGACACTATCCACTGAGCCAAAGTGGCTAGGGCTTGCTGAGACCTTTTAACACACTCCATCATTGGTTAATCTAATGGCCTCTGGCAGGGAAGTGTTATCTTATTCATTTTTGTTTGCTTAAGTGGATGTAACTAAAGTTAGCGTCATTCTCCATTCTTGAAACACCAGAGAGTAGGTAGTCTGCTTTTATGAGCATTCTGCCAGGAACCCATGTCTTTTTTTCTTCTGCCAAAAGCTTTGTTTCCATTTGGTTCAGGGCATTGGAGAGGGCACCATGGTGGTTAGAAGGCTGCCTAGTGGCTGCAGGGAGAGGCTCAGGCAGAGAAGCCTGACACCAGGGGACACAGAAGGGCCCTCAGAGGTCTCTGGTCTCCAAAGGCTCTTAGTTATGTTTGAGGGTGAACCTTTTAAACAGATACTTGTCCAGCCCAGCTGGCCTGTGTTAGTCAGGTGGTCAACTATCTCCTTGATGAATTTCACCTCATCTAGGAAGTGGTTTTCCAGGAAGTTAAGAAATAGTCTTGCCTGGCCAGCATGGCTCAATGAATTGAATGTCCTCCAATGCAACAAGAGGTCTCTGGTTCGATTCCCGGTCAGGGCACATGCCTGGGTTGCAGGATTAATCACCGTTGGGGGTGTGCAGGAGGCAGCTGATCAGTGTTTTTCTATCATCAATATTTCTATCTTCTCTTCCTCTCCCTCTCAAAAAAACAATAAAGACACATAAAAAAAAGAAAGGAGTCTTTAATGGCTGAACCTAGGGTATGCAGATGCAAAAGAGCCAGGCTCAAGTTCTTCATGACAATGGTGGCATTTATGGCATCCTGAGCTTTACCCTACTCATCTTGGATAGACTTTTGTATGTCCTGGAAGAAGGTGCAGCTGCTTCGCTTATTCTGCCTTTTTTGTTAATCCTTACTTGAGTATATTTTTCTATTGATTTAAAAATTTTTAAAAATTAATTTCAGAGAGGAAGGGAGAGAGAATCATTGATCGGCTGACTCCTGCACACCCCACACTGGGGATTGAGCCTGCAACACGGGCATGTGCCCTAACAGGGAATTGAATCGTGACCTCTTGGTTCATAGGTCTGCATTCAACCACTGAGCCACGCTGGTTTGGCTCTGATTTTTTAAAAAAAAAACACATATTTTATTGATTTTTATACAGAGAGGAAGGGAGAGGGATAGAGAGTTAGAAACATCGATGAGAGAGAAACACCGATCAGCTGCCTCCTGTACACCCACTACTGGGGATGTGCCCGTAACCAAGGTACATGCCCTTGACCGGAATCGAACCTGGGACCCTTCAGTCTGCAGGCCGATGCTCTATCCACTGAGCCAAACCGGTCAGGGCTCTACTAATTTTTTTAAAGAGTGGAAGGGAGGAGGAGAGACAGAGAGAGAAACATCAATGAGATATATTGAGATAATTTTAAAAATCTAGCTTTTTTCATAGCAACATAAATTTATATTAAATGGCCCTTGGCAGAAAAAAGTTTCCCCACTGCTACTGCATAGCATGTCCAAAATATGAGATTTAATCAAGCACAAGAGAATATTCAAGAGATGTAGTATGCATGAGATATATGAGGCTGCTGCCCACATAACACAGCACAGTGCTTCAGAGCAAACTTGTAAGAGCACACTCTAAAATAATAAAAAGTATAGTAAATACATAAACCATTAAGTCTTTATTATCAAGCATTATGTACGGTACTAGAGGCCCCGTGCATGAAATTCATACACTCGGGGGCCGGGGGTTCCTCAGCCCTCTCGCAGTCCAGGAGCCCTTGGGGGATGTCTGACTGCCAGCTTAGGCCTACTGTGCTTGCCAGCGGTGAGCCTGGCTTCTGGCTCCTGCATTGAGTGTCTGCCCCCTGGTGGTCAGTGTGTGTCACAGTGACTGGTCACTCTGCTGTTTGGTCAATTTGCATATTAGCCTTTTATTATATAGGAAAAACGTATGTACTGTACTTTTATACAACTGGCAGGATGGGTTTGTTTACACCAGCATCACCACAAACTTGTAAGTAATGCATTGTGCTTATGATGGCTATGTCACTAGGTGACAGGGTTTTTTTTTTTAGCTCTATTATCATTTTACTAGTGGCCCGGTGCACAGACTTGTGCACAATGAAAGGAAATTATAATAAATATTTTAATATCACTATTCACTCTTTCTCTGTAATAGAAGTGTCAACCAAATTCATGATTGACAATGACAGATCAAAATACGTGTGCAATTGGCACCAGTGAGAGCTTTATATGTATCGCGAATGCGTGGGTCAACTTAGCCTTTTATAGATATAAAGTTGCTTAATTAGAACTACTTTCTGATGTTGCTAAACTTTTTCCAGCCCAGTGAAGCACCCCAACTTCTCTTTTAGGTAATTGTCAGCAACACAGCAGTAAATATCAACACAAAGCAGATTATTATTGTAGATCATGCAGGGAGAACAAAGGGTAAAA